CGCGCCACTTCCGGGTGACGTCCTAGCTTTCTTTTTCGACTTTAGACATATTTGTTGTGACTGGGGTCTTCATCAGCCGGCCTGTCAACCTGGGCCTGACGCTGGTACTAGAACCATTTTTGCAATTTTTGCAAGGCATGGTTTAACCTCGGCAGGGATCGAACTCGCGGTTTCAGAGATGTCAACATGAGTATCTGCTATATCTGCCTTTAATGGGGAATAAGACTGAAAAAAATGCGAAAAAGGCTGGTCGAGTTTGTGCCAGAGGGAAATTCCCCGAAGGGATGAACGATAACCCTCTAACGCCGGACCTCGCACACCTTCAACGTCACAAAAACTATAAGAGAATGGCGGCGTCGCTGCATCGTATCAGCAACGGCCAGCCATTCTGCATTGTGTGTGCTGATTCGTATTGCGCTTGCAGGTCTTCCCGATGAATAAGCGATTTTTCCATTTTTTTTGCAGTTTGTTGAGTGCCTTGAACAGTGAGGAATATGTTAAAGCTAGAGCATACTAGTTGTGAAACATGGTTAAAGCCTTCGGAATGCTCGAAAAAACTCAACTAAAAACGAAGGCATATGTTGGCAGAGAGATTTTCATAAAGAATAAATGTTTAAAAAATTAGAAAAGCTGGCACACCTGCATTTTGTTATGTTTCGGAAGCTCATGTTTTCTATGGAGAACTCTCAGGAGGTAGGACAATGACAACTGGCACCACTACTACTAGATATTGCCATCGATGGTTCATGACCGAATTCCTGAAAACGTGAACATTCCATATATCTTGTCTTAGACATCTTATGCAAGTCGGCAGAATACGAATTTGACGCTTCACTTGAGGGAACAGAATTCGGACCTGAACATTGACCAACTACTGCTGTTCATTTAATGCACCGAACATGTTGATGGCTAGCCACCTCAGCGACTGAAAGGGGTTCATTGGAGTCGTTCTCATAAAATTCCCATAAAGTGCAACTTCGTCCGCCCAACATTTGTCACTTTCTCCCATGGTTCAATGACGCACTGGACTCGTGCTTCAAATCACTCGCGCGACAGGATAGCGCACATCATAATGTTTATTGATCAAGTCTCCCCTAGGATGCGCATGAACCCCACTATTGAGGTTATATGCAATCTAGAAGGGATGTGCTCGACGTGCCATGACGTTGTTGCTTTCAGGAATTGGCGCGTGTAAAGGCAGAGCTTGAAATGGAACGTGAGAAGCTGATACGTACAACGAAAAAGCTCAAAGACGACTTCCAGAACGTCAAGAAGTAAGTGAATTTCGTAGAGATGGTACATGAATGCCGGTAAATTATTTCTTGAGCGAGAACAGCACCCTTCGCTCAAAAGGCAACAATTCGTTTGAAAGATTCTAAATGCATGTGAGCGCTATGCTCTAAGGTGTAGCTGGGATTAGGTAGGATGGGGACCTGTTGAGCTAGCCAAGTTTTCCCATCTTATAAGCCTGTTTGACTCGACGAGGCCGACAATTTGATGGATGCACAGAATCGGACGATCAGACACCCTTCGTGAGCTCATGGAATAGTCCAAAAACGCGGGCACATCGAAATTGCCACGGCGATTCTAGGTGGCATTCGAACACGTGGCACATCCCAGAGCGTTTGAGCGTAGATCATTTCCATGTCTATAATTTGCTTTCTGCTTGACGCCCGTCTTGAAGATTGAATGTGGCCTTGTATCCATTTCACCGCTTGACTCTTCAAAACGCCGCAGAAAGGATGGTCCGTTCGTAATGTTCTAACTCTACCCCATTTATTGGAAGCACATTTTTGAGAACCTTCTTATTTATTTTGCTATCCATTTTGCTCTTGGACCGCCAAAAAAGCCTTGAAATGATCATAGTCGGAACTCTTTCCTTCCACTAAACCACGGCGTCGGGCCGACCTACAATTGGTTGTTAACTTCCTCATTTTCTGAGCGAGAGCGCAAGGCAAATTTTAAGGCCTTAAATAATAACTCTTCCTAACCTCACGACTAGTATTGAAACGAACCGCACCGGATAGGAATGTGCAAAATGTAAATTATCAAGTGTTTGAACTATGCCATGCAATCGCGACACGTCCTCGATCTCAATTCAGAAATGTTTGCCAAGTGGATACACTAAAATAACCGCTCTTTATATGCAATGACTCGGTGAGAGTCATCCAGATCATGATACAATTTTTTTGCATTCCTAGTGGAGCGGTCCGCATTTTGATCGAGTTTGAATGAGGTCATGCTTGAAAGATCGATAGGGTACGAAGGGATAGTAGTGGAAGGAGTGGTCCTCCAGTCCTTTTCTCCTATTTGAACCGTGGCAGAGTTTTGACCAAAGCTGTGAAAGCTCCTGCCGTGCCGCACTATTCCCACTGTTGCTCTGCCTCTGTCGTATAAACGTCGCTTGACTTGGTAAAATAATGCTAATCATATATTTAGCGAACTGAAAGTCACAAACGAGATGAAAATGACGCTGGAACAGGAAAAGATTTCACTGAACTCGAAGAACGAATATCTCCAGGCAAACATGGAGGTACGACCACGCAACTGCTACTTAAAGCAACAGTCCCAGCAGGGTTTTTACCTTCGACACTAATGGTGTGGAACGATGCGCTAGCCCTAGTCAAGAACATAAGTGTGACTGAACAAAAAACTCACCTTGGAAAGCCGCTAGAAAGGGAGCTGAACGGCTTCGAAGTGGGCGTGGTTGTTCGGCTGCATCCCCTCGGCCGATTCCAACCACGCCCACTTCGAAGCCGTTCAGCTCCCTTTCTAGCGGCTTTCCAAGGTGAGTTTTTTGTTCAGTCACACTTCTTATGTTCTTGACTAGGGCTAGCGCATCGTTCCATTAGTGTCGAAGGTAAAAACCTGCTGGGACTGTTGCTTTCAAGAAAGAGAATTCAATACGATCCCATAACAAGCATTTGTTACTACCGAAAGCTTCTATTCTTTGTGACTAGTTTCCACCACTTTTGTAAGAGCTCAGCCTATTGGGCAAACCTATGTGTGATCTTCATTGTGAACCACAATATATTTGAGCTTTTTGGAGTTGTTATTTCAGTCACTGAACATCGAGAAGGAGAAGATCCAGGAGCATTTCCAAGATATAATGCGAGAACGCGAGCAGTTCCTACTGGAGAATCAGAATCTGTCGACAGCGACATGTCAGCTGAAAAATCGCCTAACCGAGATCGAGACCAAAACCAACTGCATGGCCGTTGAGAGGGAGAAAATAGAAATGTTGTGGGTCTCGTTTTCATTATGCTGACATGACAAAATTTTGAATATAATATGAATAATGAAGAAAATATAATATTTTCTCGAATTTTTACTATATTAGATCGTCAAGGCGTTCGCGAGGTTTACTAGTATAATCCATTTTTAACAGTTCTTCTTTGTTTGAATGCCGTGGTAGCCAAGATTAAGGAGTACACCCTACGTCTCACTGTGCAGAATTGGCAAAACTGCCGTTGGCACAATCTAACTACCCTCCCTTCAAAAAGCGAGAAAGTGTCGGGTGCAGACCATACACCACAAGTGACGACGGCCTCCACAAAATGTAAATGTTTTCTGCCAATGAAATGATTAGCCTGTTGCAGTTGTATTCTATCAGTTGTCACTAATTACAACTATCATTTACCAAAATCAGCTATCACTATGAACCACTACTAACCAGATTTACTTGGAGGCCGTCGTCACTTGTGGTGTTTGGTCTGCACCCGACACTTTCTCGCTTTTTGAAGGGAGGTGTGTCGTCCTCTCGTCATTCGGTTTGCGCTGGCTGGCCCGAGTGTTCTGTGCTTGTATCGGGCCTGTTTATTTATTTTATTTGTTAACGTATTGATACAGAACTTATCACCAGGCCAGGCAACGCGCCGAAAGTGAACAGTTTTACAAAATAGTTATAATAAACGTGAATTAATAGAAAAATGTTTAGTTGGGGAAGGACTTATTTAATAAGGGAAAGGTTCGTGATTAACAGGAGTCATTGAGGAGGGCCGGGACACAAAATCGATAACGAGCGTAGGCGCATTTGCTGAGCGAAGGATGGCATTTCCACAACATTGCAACGCAGGCCGGAGAGGATTGCGGCTAACCTGCTCCAAGGGCGCGAGGTAAGGGAGTAGGGGTACTGTACACGCTAGGCAAAAGTTCATCAATGAAGCCATTTCTGAGCACCATTCGGATATGATTTGCTTTCATATTTGTGGACCTTTTTCCCTCCGTCTAGACATCTAATATATTGCGAATAGTTTTACTTATTCTTTATTACGACGCTGAAGGTGGTTGTTTGTGTTCTGCATTCTGTGTCGTTTTGGGACCTGGTCTAGTTTTGTTTATCGTTTTTGTTTGTTGTTTATGTTTAAAACAACAGCCACTGCAATTCACAAAAATGTAACAGGAAAACTAGATAATCGATTCACCAAAATACAATAATGGTGTTGTTATACATGGTGTGAGAGAAAGCATGTGAAACTGCACGACATTCTGCATTTTTGCCTTCGTTCGTTCATCCACACAGGTGCGTATAGGATGTAGGCAAACTCGATAAAGTAGCAAAATTATGAAATCGATATTCGAAATAATAGCAGAATCAATTAATATATCCTAGAATTATGTTGAAGATGTTAAAACTTCGAATAATTTGGATATGTTCAGGCTACAAATGAACGAGAACAAAACGCAAGATCTCGAGAAAGAGCGACAATACTACACAAAGCAAACCCAGGAGCTTCTCATGAACCTCAAGGTAAGTGAGGGGTGGAAATTGTTGTCGAGTACTGTTTGTGCCCCAGCGATTACGAGAAGGAGTTCAAGCTTCTAAAGGCACACCAAATATGTGGGTGAAACCCTCAAGTCCATTGCGCCCAAATTATTTCGGCAATGGTGAATGGTCGAAGACGGTGTAAAATCTTCTCGACATTCGCGCACCCCATCAATGGCTTTTGCACAATGGTATTTGAGCTTTTGGCCTCGCCGCTGTTTTGGTGTGTCTCAATAGCAAAAGGGCGCTATCTGACAGGATATCATTCAAGGAGGTTAACGAGCAGAAAGAACTCACCGAATCGGAACTTCGTCAGCAAGTCATGGCACGAATAGGAGCAGAGAAACAGTTGCAGGTAAGTGTCTGCAATAATTACCTTCTTTCAGCAGTACAGTCGCCCATTAGGAGTGTGCCAGCAGTTTTCCTTTTGGTACAACATCAAAACTTTCCTCCAAGGACTAGCTGGCATATTTCATTGAAAAATTGATTGCATTAGTCACTCCGGCCCAATGCGTGCCTTTTTTGTTGTGAAGAAATGCCGTCAGAATGAATTCCGAGCAATCTTTTCAGGCAGCAGAAAAAGCCCTCGAACACTTGGAAATGGCGCTGAAGATGACCGGTGCACAGATGACCGAGCTACAGGAGCATATCATGCCTGATGTTCATAAGCTGCGCGGTACGGTTTATTCAATATGTACGTGAAACTAACCATACTGGATAAAAGGGCCGGCCAGCAACTGCGAAGTTGAGGGGGTCTCGATAGGATCCCTCTCCACATCACATGAAGGGAGTCGTCCACAAACACAAAGCAAAGGCCGGAGGGTGGTGCGGTGCGGTTTTCATGACGTCATTAAACGTCACTGGTGGAAGGATATTAGGAGGCGGTCCCACTCCCCTCCCTCACTCCTACAGCACGTTTGAGGGAACAGTTTCCCCACCACATTCACAAAATCATCAGAGCAGAAGTCACTGCCTTAGACTGAAGATCCTCATGTGAACGCATCCACTCCAAAACGGAAAGCTCGGTTGTTTCGCTCCTTCTCAGACCGAATTTGTTTCACGTATCCCTCGTGAGGGCCAGCCATTTTTTGAACAATGTTTAACGAGAGGATTAGTCTACCTTGAAAGGCGATTGTGATTTTTGGAAAGGAGAGGGGGAAGGCTCAAGCGTTCTTGATATGGTGGGCGTAGCAGACTCTCAAGAAAGACCTTTCCTGATTCCAAATTTTTGGAACACAATGGCTGAACCTATTTCGAGTGAGCACAAAAGAAAGGGGTACACCCACGAAGGTTGGCATTGATTGGAGGCGTGTTCCAGTTTTGCATACGTGACATAATCATGGCGCTCCCTTTTGTTTGGAGCTGTCGGCCCTATTCCTAACCTGTGATGCACAGAATACTCAGGTTGCCCAATCTTAATCGATTAGCGTTTAGAATACTTCGAACAATGTGCCCATGATGCTCAACTGGAAGCAAATCGTACGGGAATTATGCGACAGGCTATTTATGCGAGGAAGTGAGTATACATATTGATTTTTCAAAAATTTCCTCTCAGAAAGTTTCTTAAAAAGGAAGATCTGGAAATATAATGCTCCAAATTGTGACTCTAGTTCTCGCACCAGGCTATAGCTGATCTCTTTCACAAAATGATTGAAGGCATGTCCCAGTATCAAAGTGTTATGCCTCATCCACACGAAATGAAAGTATTAGCTCGAAGTGGCCTCTTTTTTCACTGAGCTGTGCTCAACCAGTGAGACAGTGAGCGCGGAGAAGAGAGAAGAGGTTAGAGAGCACAGCGGATGGGAGA